AAAGACCCGGGAAATGGTCCGCAGCCATCAGTGGTGACAACGTTTTGAATTAAATTGTCCGCAGCAAAGAAATCCATGTTGTAAGGCAAAATCTTGAAGTCTTTTTTCATGCAAAAGACAGAACTATATAGCACTTTAAAGACTAACAAGATGGTTTATTAGGTGATGAGCTTTCATGGGCAAGACCCACTTCCTCAGATCAATATGTAGAAGAAAATCGGCACAGCCATATATACCAAAGCGATACATTTGTTTCACCTACACCAGACTAACAGGGCTGCATCTCTATCACTATTCTACATGCTTTGTCATGCAGAGGTCCTTCCAGTCAGGAGCTTGGTTTGAGTAAAACCTGCAGGAGTTAGCCCTAAGGCTGTCATTCAGTCCTGTCTGCCTAGTTAATACAACACATGTGGTGTGAACCATTGTCTAAGACTCTTGCCTACGTCTGAGCAGGAGCAATGACAGCCTGAATAGGGAGGCTCTCCAGTGTCAATTTTAAAAACACATTGAAAAGTCTCTGATTCAACTCCTGATTGTCTTGGTCATTTATTTCAAACATAGTTATTAATAAAAAAAAGCTAAAAGCCCATTATGGTCCTCCCTGCTAAAATCCCTTCAAATGTTGCTTCTGCATATCTATGATTTAGTGGCTATCATGGGACTTCAAGGATGTTTGGAGGGATGTTGAAGTGCACAGTATTTTAGCACAGCCCCGAGCATTTTTACACATCCTCATCTCCACAGACACCAAGGGGAGACTCTGCCCTGCTGTTCACACATGACAATGACATTTTCACTGCAGGATGAAATAGTTGGGGATTTTAATGATGATTCTCTTCTGTAGCAGTTTGCTTCTAGATGCCCTCAGAACGTTTAAAAACACTAGTTAAAGCAAAAGCAGAATTTTACACCCCAATGGCAGCTGTTATATACCCAACTAACAAACAGGCAATTGGTAGCAAGTGGGTTGTACCCTGAGCAGAAGAGTCCCACTGGTCAACTGTATACTAGCTTGAGCTTTGAAACCCAGGATGCATAGTCCACTTCTGTTTTCCTTTTTGGATAAATAATTTCCACACTGTTATCCATCTATTGCATAACAGATGTTTCGCAGAAGAGTTCAACAAGTATCACTTGGCAATACTAAAATGCAGAACATTTAGCAGAGGACATGGCCCTCTACAATGATCAAAGCAGAGATCTAGGAATCAGAATTCATAGGGACTACTGCAAAAACAACAAAGTCCTGTGGCGCCTTATAGGCTAACAAATTTATTGGAGCAGAAGCTTCCATGGGCAAAGACCCACTTCGTCAGATGCATGTAATGGAAATTCCAGAGGCAGGTATAAATATACAGGCATAAGAAAAGAGTACCAATCAAGGGTAAGGCTAGAGATAACGAGGTCAATTCAGTCAGGGAGGATGAGGCCACTTCTAGCAGCTGATGTGGAGGTGTGAACACCGAGAGGAGAATGTGAATGGCTAGCCAACTACAAAAGCACTTTTATTCAGTGGTTTTGTCATTGTAGAAAGGCCTTTTAGGTGTTTTCTGAGGTAAATTATTAATCTAGATGAGTCTTGGTTCTGGTTCATACACGTTGATGTCTTCAACTCTTGAACTGCTTTTACTTTCTCAGGGCTAGGAATTTATTTGTTGTCCATCCCAAAACCTCAATTTGGGATATGTAGAAAACTCACTTTTCCTTGTTTTGCTATGGCTGGATTAACTGAATTCCTCGGGCATGGGACCTGTCAAAAAAAAGCAAATCAGAAAAATGGGGAGTGGGGCACAGAGGGGAGAGCTTTCTTCCTACAGAAGATATCAATGTTTATTGTAGTTGAAAAACAGATGACCTGAAAAGTTAAAATGCTTTTTGTGGCCAAAAACTGATGAAAATTAACAATTCGGCCAAAAAGTTGGGACAGGCAGGAGGAATATTTTTTTCTCTCAAAAGTTTTCAGTTATTCAATATCAGGGGGGCCAACAGACTTTCCAGGCACCTGGACAATGTGGAAGGAGCCTGTCTCAGTGCTCCCAGAAGGGGTGGGGCCTTGTACGGAAGGGGCAGAAGCCCTCATCATTGTCAAGAGTATCATCACCTGCCAGCCAGCCCTTAGTGCCGCCCAGAGCATACCACCGGGCCCTTTAAATCTCTTGTGATTTAAAGGGCCTGGGGCTCTAGCTGCCATTGCTGCCCTTTTGAACCACCGCACCCCAGGGCTGTTGCCCCCTTTTGTCCTTCCTACCACCTGTCAGCAGGCCTGTCCAACATAAAAATCAATGCCTTGTAGGAAAACAGAGCTTTTCCATGATAAATCACACTTAGTTGAAGACAGCCTAAAAAGTATCAATGGAAAATGTTCAATCAACTCTAATTGCTAATTTTATTTGTCATTAAAATGCCATCTGCATCTACATCACTTCCTTGGACTATCCTAAAAAACTCATCCCCCTTTGCAATGTTAAATATCATGTATAGCGATAAGGTTCTGTTATAGCACAGCCTTCTGCAGTCTGAGGCAAACCTTCCAATGAAGTATTGAAAGAACTTTGGACAAATTCAAGGGAGTCAGTAGAACATGCACAAGCTTATACACAGGGGCTGTGTCTAGACTGGCAAGTTTTTCCACAAAAGCAGCTGCTTTTGCGGAAAAACTTGCCAGCTGTCTACACTGGCTGCTTGAATTTCCGCAAGAACACTGACGATCTCATGTAAGAAATCAGTGCTTCTTGCGGAAATACTATGCTCTCCCATTTGGGCAAAAGTCCTTTTGCGCAAAAGGGCCGGTGTAGACATCTCAGATTTGTTTTGCGCAAAAAAGCCCAGATCACGAGAATGGTGATCGGGTCTTTTTTGCGCAAAAGCACGTCTAGATTGGCACGGATGCTTTTCCGTAAAAAGTGTTTTTGCGGAAAAGCGTCTGTGCCAATCTAGGTGCTCTTTTCCGCAAATGCTTTTAATGGAAAACTTTTTCGTTAAAAGCATTTGCGGAAAATCATGCCAGTCTAGACGTAGCCAGGCTGAATTTGGCTCTACAACTTAATTTGGTGCATAAATATAACTTAACTGAGCCTGTACCAGTAATTTTATGGATATCACTCCAAGAAATTTTGGAAAAACAAAACAAAACCCAGAACAACCAACACCACAGCATTTTTTTTCTAGTCATAAATATGTAACTTGTCCGTAGATATATTTTGACTCTTGCATTACATACAGAAAACAGAGCTTGAGGCTAATAGCTGAGGATCTGAACCCACTGGGTTTTATCTGAATGAAGGAACTATACTTAAACTGGAGTTAGATTCATCTAAGGGACTGTGTGTAGATCCGTTGCCTAGTGGCCACAGCTGGGCTGGTGTTCGTAAGTCAAGGATGGCCTCAATAGCAAGTTGGCATTGGCATAGCGTACGGTTAGGATCAGAGAGTGGAGAACAGACACAACTACTGGGCAGGAGTCAGGATGGGGACAGAGACAAGAGATTAGAAAGCAAGATGAGGTCTGGAGTCCTAGGAGACCAGAAATCTTTGTGGTTTCCTAGACAACTTGCTTGGCTACTCTCAAGGCTACATTGTGAGAACTTGACCAATGAGAAGGCCATAGAATGCTGTCACTCTAGATGCTTTGGGCAGTATTTCCTGTGGAGCATGATCTCCACAGTGCTCCTTGAATGTACCTGTGCTACCCTGTGGGCTCTCCCAGGCTCTGCAGCCCTGGGTTTTAGTCTACTACATACTCAGTGATTCAGTCTAAACCACTACCTAACATGGGTCCCCATTCTGCAAAAAGTAGTCTCATTAATCATTGCTTGATTTTCTACATTGGAAGTAGAAAGCCTAGTCTACACTAGAGTTGTTTCCTCCTCCTCTTCTATCAAAAAAATCCCACCATTGCTAACAGCAGAGAGAAAAGGAAAACATGAATTAGGAAAATATTTAAAACTATTCAGTGAGAAGAAACCAGTAATTTAGGAATGCCCTGACTACCTGCTGTTCTTAACAACCGAAATAAGTAAGCACTTTTCACATGCTTATTATAAAACAACGCAGGGATCCCAAAGACTGTGGTTCACTTGTATCTCTCTCTCTCTCTCTCTCTGCATATTGAAGAAGTGGCAAACTGCAAAAATAGTTATCCCTTTTTTTTCCCCGAGAAGCAACTTTTCTCAAACACTTATGTTTATACTTTTACTTTTTTGTAAACCGAAATAAGTAAGCACTTTTCACATGCTTATTATAAAACAACGCAGGGATCCCAAAGACTGTGGTTCACTTGTATCTCTCTCTCTCTCTCTCTCTGCATATTGAAGAAGTGGCAAACTGCAAAAATAGTTATCCCTTTTTTTTCCCCGAGAAGCAACTTTTCTCAAACACTTATGTTTATACTTTTACTTTTTTGTAAACCCAAATAACCACTAAAAATGGTAAGATCTATGTATAATCTAGGCACTTCAGGGCAGACTCATTGAGCAAACCCTTATTCCATTAAAGTCCATGAAAAAGCTCTCGGTGATTTCAACAGGATCCCACCAATAGGTGCTCCAGGGCTCCTTTGTATTAACCAGGCTGGCACAATAGCAAGTAGGACAAGCATATTCTCTCCACCCCTTCCCCTGCCCAGAATAACTTCAGCACAAAGGGCCTGTTTGGCAGGTGCAGTGCTAGCTCTTCATGCCTCTTCAGAGCAGCCTTCTCTTCCTCCAGTACATGTGGAGGGGGCAGGCCAGAGTGAGGAAAGGGCAGGACAGTGTTCCATGTGGCCATTGTAACGGGCACAAATGAGGGCTTTGCAAGCCATTGCCAGCCTCCTGCCTCCCTTGTTCAGAGGTTGCAGAGGACTGAATCTAGCTCTTCCTCCTCCTGTGGGCCACCCACCCCCACAGCCTCCCCAATGGATGTGCTCGCCATTTGTTTCATAACCACTTTGATTTGGTCTGATACCTTGTGAAAGAACAGCAGTGATGGGTTTTTCTCTTTATCTGTGGCTACTTTAGGTATGAGGAGGAATTTTCCCAGCGAGTGGAATTGCAGGACCAGGTGCTGCAACTCAAAGACCAGCTGGAACAGCAAAAAGAAACTTGTTCACTGGTGAGGCTAAGAACCCTGCTCCTAAACCGTGCTTCTGCATCCTCTTCGGCATCTCTGAATCATGCTGCTAAAGCCCCCGCCAAATTGACCTTCCTCTTGCAATGGGTTAACACAGGCTACTATTTAATAGCATGCACTTGACTAGCTGGCATTTGGGAATGTTGATAAGGCCAGGCCCCTGTAACTCCAGAGTTCACCATTGCTCAAAAACTTGTTTGCACATAGAGCCTACTTCAGGATTGTTCCTCTAACCTTGCTATGTGGTCAGCTGGCTCTGCATTACTGAAAGCCCCAGCAAGTAGTGTTCTGTGTTCTCGATGGCATTTTCTTCCTCGTCTGTCACAGCAGCCTCAGTATGTTGGTATCAATACCATTTCTATTTGTGGGGTTTTTTTTTCATTTGCTTGCTTTGGTCAAGAAGGATGGTCTTCGGTTAGAGTTAGAAAACCAGGATTGTATGCCTAGCTCTATCTCAGTTTTCCTGGCCCTGATTTCTTCACTACCTCACACTGTGAGTGGTCATTTCTGTGGGAGCAAAGTTGGGCATAAAATGCTGCTATTGATTTAAGTGACCGGAGACTTTTACCACTATAGTACTTTGCTCTTCTTTTGCTGCCATGTAGATAACTACAGCAGGTGAAAGGAGAATCAAGCCCTCTGACCCAAACCAGGCAAATCGCTTCCTGCCTTCCTGAAATAAGTTGCTGAGTAAGCAGAGGGTTGCAATCCCCATTCTAATGCATTGACTTTCCTCCCTGTATTCCAGCCCACTGTTTTAATCAGCCACTTGTGAACCATTCCACTTCTTTGTCTGTGGCCAGTGTGTGGTGTAGGGCAGTGGTGCTGACTCACTAGTGCAAAAGAAAACAACACTGGAGCCTGTGCTGACTGAGCTTGAAGCAGGTGCCAACCTTGACTAGTTCACCTGCTGCAAACCCCTACCCTGAATATGCTGAAGAGTTCACTAGAGGGATTGCTGGTTGCCAGGGTAGGAACTGGGCCTACTCCTTGGTACTGTGATGCAGCCTTTGGTTGTCTGTGTAATTGTGTTACAACACAGACAAAGTCAGTGCGTTACAATGGAGACTTCAGTAACCACTTCATAAGGATGTTGGAAGGTTTAATTCAAAGCGATTTAAAATGTTGGGAGTCAAGTGATTAGTACAAGGGTTAACTGGCTTGCTCTGCGTGTTATGGGATGGAACCATGCACCATTCCTCCTTTATTTGCTGTGTGGTCAGTGGGAATGTTTGCCTTTCCCCTTTTGTTGCGATGCAGTTAAATAAAGCAGCAATTTCCCAGTGTGTAGCCTATAGTGAATAGACATTTGTGTTTCACTGAGCAGCCTTTTTACAAAAGGGCGGGATGGCCTGATAGAGGCGTAATGTAATATTATTATCTTATGCTGTGGTGTTTTGAGACTAGACTATTTTTAAACCTTGGACTGCCTTGCTATATACTAATTTACTTGTAGGTAAGGGTCTGTCAGCACTTATGATGTTAAACTGCGTTTTGGGGTTAAATCTCTTTCCACCTTGAAAGTATGTTGGAACAGAGGTAAGCAGCCTTAAAGTTTAAGGTTAGAAGGGTTTGCCAGATTATCCAGTTTGATCTCCTGTGTATCCCAGGCCACTAAATCCCACCTCGTATTAAGATCAATAGCCTGGATTAGCCTAAAGTATTGCAGCTCTCAGTATTGTATACCACAAGCAGGGAACAGAAGGGACCAAAAATGCATAAAACTGTGTACGAGTTGGGAGTGCTCCTGTGCTCAGACAAAAGGAGCAGCAGTGAGATGTCCTTTTTGTAACTCAGCAACCACCTTGCTGAGCTAGACAACTGAGAGAGCTGTCTGATTGGAGTCTCTCTGAGTGTGGAGAAGAGGAAGAAAGCAGAGCCTAGTGGCTAAGGTGCCAGCCTAAAACTCTGGAGACTTGAATTCATTTCCTTATTCCACCACAACTGCCTGTGTGACCTTAGAGAATGGGAGTGATAAAGGAAAGTTTTAAAGGTACCTAGAAATTCCCTGGAACAATGGCCTCTACCAAAACTGGGTTAGGATCCCAGGTTCTTTTGCAATGCTTGGGGAGGAGGGAAAAGGTGCTTCAGGGTACATCTACGCTGCAAGCCCCCTACCAATGCTGAAATCTCATAAATCAGTGTAAGTCTGAGTCAGTTGGTCCAATCTCACAGCCTGAGAGTCTGCCTGAGCTCAAATATCTACCCTATCAGGTTCTTTAGTTCTGATAGACTTCAGGCTAACCTGAGAGCATTACCAGCCTTACTTATAACCTTTAACCCATAGTCTAGAACAGAGGTTCTCAAAGTGGGAGGCATGCCCTCCTGGGAGGCATGGAATGTATTCTGGAGGTGTGTGACAAGCTTTTCAGGGAGGGGGGGAACATACTGGACCTATTCAGAGCTGGGCCCCTGACCAACAACTGCCTCTCTCTGCTCTGTCTGGGTGACCAGAAACTGGTAGCTGCTGACCGGTGTCCAGAGTGGGGCATAAACTGGGTTGCCATACATCTGTGTTTTCCCAGACACTTCTGCTTTTTTGATCTTCTGACCTCTGTCCAGCTGGATTTTTCAAATAACAGGTCCATGCCTTGGATTTTTGCAGAGCAGTTATTGCAGCTCAGAAAGAGCCCTGATTGGTTAAGTCCCCTGTATCCGCAGCTGCTGGATCTCCTCTCCTAGGCCTTGCCCCACAGCATTGGGGAGCCAACCCAGCAGGGAGGCACTGTCTGGTGCTGCATCCTGAGCTTATGCCTGTCACCATGATAGGAAGTGACACTGCCCTCTCACTTCACTGAGTACTCCCATTACCGATACCCGTATCCCTCCAAATACCCACACACTTCTCCAGAGTCCCCTCCAACTTCTCCTCCTCCCTTTACTTCCTTCTCTGTCCTCTTTTTGGGAACCTGAAATACGCTAACTCTGGGCATAATGTGCTACAGATGCAAGGAAAGGAGCAGGATCAAATAAGTTTGAGCGCTGCTGGGTTAGTGCGTGCACCTTGCATGTTGGAAAGCTTGGATGAATTCCTTCCTCTGCCTGCTGAAATGAAGGGGGTTGAAAGGGTGGGGCTCCCTACCTGTCAGGTGAAGGAACAGCTGCTCCTGTACAATGTCACGTTCCGTGTTCTTACCGTGAGTCTGGCCAGGATAGGCACGTTGCTGCACTGAGCTTGCCACCAAGATTTAGTCAATAGATGCATAAGTTAATGTGGATGATACATGCAACCAAAAAGAAGGAACAAACGCAACAGCTTGTTCTTTCCTTGCAAACCGGCCAGAAACAGGACTTATCGCCAAGATTGTGTTGCTCTACTGCACTCGGTTCTAAATACTCTCTTGTGTACGTTCAAGCAAAGGCTCCACTAATTTACACACGTCCTGTATTTTCTCTTCCCCTACATTATTTATACAAGATTCTTCAATTTGTATGTAATGTAGCTCTTCTACAATTGCATTGACTCACTCTATATAGCATGTGTTAGTGACAGGGGACTATTCGTTTTAGCATCACTGTAGCGTGAAGGAGGGGCTCTGATTTCTGAAGGGTAGAGATTTAAATGGGGGCTTAATGCCCCACTTTAATGAATGAGTAGATAAAACATCATTGCTCTCCTTCATATACAATGGGCTTCATTTGTGAGGTGCATTGTGGGTAAAATGGATTCAGAAAAGCCTCCTCTCAAAGCCTTGGGTATCTGAGCAGGAATTGGCCACAATGCAGCTCTTGTGCTTCTTTGCGCATAAAGGTGATGGCCTGGTGTAGCATGGTTTGAGCGTTATGTCTTTCCACAGGGCGCATGGACATTTGGATGCATTGGCTGAGCCCTGCTTCCCCTGTACTGCCTAATATAATTCATGCAAAACCACTCCTCCCCCAAAGAGTGAGGATGAACATCCTCCATAGTGTTCTCTGAGTCATTTTGTCAGTAGTACCATGGGTGTTTCTCCATGAATGGTCAGATTTTGCCTTCTTAAGTTCTACACACATTTCTGAAGGTGCAATTTGGATCCAA